TCAAACCTAGCCCTGGCCAAAAACTGCAAATAAATAAATAAATAAATAACTACAGTAGGCGGGGCGTGGTAGCTCACACCTGTAATCCTAACACTCTGGGAGGCACGTGGATTGCCTGAGCTTAGGAGTTTGAGACCAGCCTGAGCAAGAGTGAGACCCAATCTCTACTGAAAATAGAAAAACTGCAGCACGAGAATCACTTGAGCCCAAGAGTTTGAGGCTGCTATGAGCTATAATGATGCCACGGCACTCTGCCCAGGACCACAAAGTGAGACTCTGTCTCAGAAAAAAAGATGAAATACAGTACCTCCATAGTTGACCATCTTCTTAAGTTGACTTAATTTTCATAGACCAGACATACACCACATGTACATGTAAGTAAAGTAGGCCTAGTTCTTTATATTGACCACCTCCATATGTTGACCAGTCTGTTACAGTCCCTTGGGAGGTCAACTACAGAGGTTCTATTGTATTTACCATCCTAAAAGAAGGTTAATGCTTTTTTCAGTACTTTGTCAAGCATCCTAAATATGGGTTTTCTAAATAAAGTCTGTGTACACACAAACTTTATGAACCCCTTGTATAACAGGTTTCAAATATTTATGATTGTTGACAAATAGCCTTTATTGGCTTAAAGTGTTTCACTTTAAGATAATGCTAATGTACATGTTTTTGTTTCTTGTTTCTAGTCCAAACTGGGTTACTTGACCCTGATCTTGTGCACAGCCCACACCCTGGTATACGGTGGAAAGAAATTCCTCAGCCCTTCAGTTCTCAGATGGTATCTTCCTTCAGCCTACATATTAGCACTCATCATTCCTTGCACTGTACTGGTGATCAAGTTTATCCTAATTATGCCATGCATAGACAAGACCCTGACACGGATCCGCCAGGGCTGGGAAAGGAACTCAAAAATCTCCAAATCAGCTCTGAATGGAAAAACAGATATTTAAAGCAAAGTTCAATATAATCACTCTTCTATAGAATTGGTGTTTAGAGAATAATGAATATGGTTAGAAAAGGTTTTTTGTTTTCCCATGATGGCTTGACGTTCATGAACACAGAAGGGAACATTACCTTTCTTTGAGAAATTGGCAGATTGGAAGAGAATACCATTTTAGCTCACATCAGTATGAATCCGAGCAGGTCCCCGCCTCTTCTTCCCTGGGGCTCATGGGGCTGAGATTGACATTAGCTTTGTGGTTTCACACTCAGAAGCTTCCTTATTGTAGGCAACATGTATGACCTAATGTCTTGCAAAATCCAGGACTATCACAACTTCCTTCTCCAGTTCAAGGACTGAGTTAAGTGAGGGCCACCAACAAAGGTTTGGTTGAAGAAGAGGGCCAAATGGAGTAAAAAGAATGAGATTTTTGCTTGCATTTTGGAATCAAAGGTGATCATAAATATTACCACAGTAAATCCTATAGTTAAATGTACTCCTTGATTTTGCTTTTACCAATATGAATGTTTACTATGGGGAACTACTTTATAACACAACAAAAATATCACAACTGAGGGGAAGTAAACACGCCACATCTATAGAACTGTCATAAGATCCGTCCTCTGCAGAGAACAGGTCTAGGAGAGACTGAGTAAAAATGAAGATATATCCATTTGAATTTCCCCTGCAATGTTCAAAAAGCAAGGAAGGGTTGAGAAGAACCCTTGTACGAAAAGTCAAAATCAACCAGAATTTTAGATAGCAAGCTAAATAAATATTGTAAAGTTGAACTATATTAGATTTAGTATTTTTTAGGTACGGGATATAATTTTGCAAATTGTATATTCCAAATATTCTTCAATATTAATCATCTATGACATTAATTTCTAGTATAAAGAAGTAGCTTCCATAGCTGTCTCAGGCTATTATAATTTTAAGCAGCAAAGTTACATGAATAATCTTTAGGAGTAAGTTTAAACAATGCTTGGATGATGGAGACTTATAGGAAGTGACAGGGCAGAGATGTTATATACACATAATATGTTATATATGTAATGAACAGTAGTCATTATATGAGCCTTGGATCTTTCTCAAATCCTTGCTGAAGTGTAGGATGGTTCTCTCTGTTTTTCTGTGCTGAGTGGGCCCTTTCCCAGATGACCTTCAGCCGTATTCGCCTTTCTAGCCCAAGCAAGGAGCTAAGCGGAGCCTTATGCACAATCTTCCCACATACCAAAATAACTAAAAGGCATTGGGTTTGACATTTTTCTGCCTGCTCTACCAAGACTATTTTTTTACTTTTGTTATAACATATTATATACATGGCATATACAAAATGGTTAAAATATATGAAAACATCCACAATCCAAGATATTTTTCTATATAACTTTTTGAAAATAATTTTATCTAGATTGTAGGCTCAATTTTACATCCTTTTTCACTTACTATGTTAAAGGCATTGTTCTCTTATATTGTGTATGTATTTATTTAATGGATGCATAATATTATATCAAATAGGCATTTATTTACCCATGCCCCTAATTAAATGTATAGGCTATATCCATTTTTTACTAAAACAACTTTTCAGAGAATATCTTTGTACTATTAACATTTTTCCATACTTTCAGTTATTTCCTCAGAATACTTGCTAAGAATTGGAAACATGAATTTTAACCAGTATTTATGATATGTCATCAATTTATTGCTAACATGATCTTATTAACACCTTTAGCATTGAATCAGGGTGTTGGTTCCATCGTACATTATAGATTTTGTTTTCTATTTCAATTTGTATTTACTTATAAATGGCTGCAAAGCTACACAGAACATGTGCTTCTTCAGTTTATCTTTGATGAACCCAAGCAGGGATACAGAAAGCTGGAAGCCTTGGAGTAGACAGGTGGTATGTGGTGCTGACCTCAGAGCATCAGTGGAAAAGACAGGGAAATGGCACTTCTCATCCACGTTATGCAAAACGACCAGGTGTGCTGGGGCTGGAGCCTGCTCTTTAGTCAGAGAATTGCTCAAGTGAAGTTTAAGTACCCCCCAGGCTGGCCTAGGGGAGCTTTTGGAGCTAACCACTGTCCCTTTTTGGTAAAAGAATAATATGTTTATTATACCAGGTCATACACAGTCTATCAATGAAAATAGAAAATGCCATATACCTAAGTAAAATGTTTATGTACAGAAAAAACAAACTCTGCTTTTACAACCTAGTAAAAATGCCCTACCTAGTACAAATGCTTTTACAACCTAGTAAGAATGCTTTAAAAAGTACTTAAAAGCCATCTATGAAGCCTGATGCTAAAGAGCACCCTAGTAGTTTTTTCACAGCAGCTGTGTGGCCAGGCCTGACCTTTGGCTCCAACTACAAGGTTTGGCGCCACAGGCCGACCAAGAATGCCACAGTTTTCCTTCCAGGCTTCCCAGTGTCCCTCCCAGCTTTCAAAACTATCAAATCAATTTCACCATCTTAACACAGCCGACCCCTCCAGTTTACTTACGGTGGAAACAATGAGTTTAGAAGGATGGAACAGGTGCTTTGGGCGAACTGTATCCCTTAAACTGTTCTTTCTATGTCAGAGCGTTAGACGAAACTTTTTTACTGCTGGTATGTTTCCTGTATTCTAGGAAAATTTTTATAACATTTACAGATGTTTTGTTTTTGTATGCTATACTTTATGTTAAGAGATCACCGATTTATAAATGTGCACTTATTAAATGTTACTTTTAAAATATTTCCTAGTTTTGTTTAATTCTGGTTTCGACTCATCAGAATTCCAAAGAAAGGGATTGGCAAGTTTTGAATCACAGTAGTTACAGCATCTGGGACTAAAAACTTCCCTTGAAGGATAAGTAAAAAGAAAGGCAATGCATAGGTTTGAAAACATATTCATGAATTTGCAGCTTCGTGTAATATATGTTTGAGCTCAGTGGGGCGGGACATTCCAATATCCTGCCCGAGCTTCGGTGTTACCCTCAGAAGGTGGAAAGCATGAGCTGGCTAACCAGGGGAATAGACCATCCCACATGAGACTTTTGTTAAGAATTAGGAAAAAATCTTTTTTCCCCAAGTAGATGCCATCAGAGCAGGGCTCATGGGATGACAGGCAGACTGCAGGTTGGATTCAGACTGTGTGAGCAGGCACTAGAGGCCCTGCACAACTGGATAGCTGCAGCCTTGATGGGTGCTATCATGCTTTCAGAAACAAAATAAAATGAATTAGGGGAGGGCCGGCAACTTGGAGGAAGCCAGAAGCAAATGGAAAATCCCCTCCTCAAGAGTGAAGACTTCAATTAGAAATTCATTCAAGAGCCCTTCATGCATTGATTGTTCACAGATCACAAAAGAGCCATGATAATGATGAACGTGTATAATGCATTTCACCTGGGAGCTCACACGATTCTGGAACCCGTGCCCAAATCAAGGGGAAATGGCGGTCAAGGTGCTGGGCACAGAGCTTGCAGTCTTTATCCCCATAACCAACATCCCCACCAACACCTGTTCAACACATGTACGTGTGTGTGCACACATACCACGAAAGCCCACAAACCCTACAGGCTCCTACTTCAATTCCCTATAATGAGTTAAGATTACAATCTAGAAAAATCCTCCACTCTTGTAAAGATCTGTTCGATAGAATTTAGGAAAAGAGAATGAGCTATCCTTCCAAGCATTCCCTTTCTTCAAGCTCCAGGCCAAGCCCCGAAATCTCAGGTAAACCCAAAGGAGGGAGGAGAAAAATGAGGGGGACAGGGCGTGGGTTAGAGAACAGAGGAGCTGGGGCGAGCAGGTTACTGCCCTGCCCTGCCAGGAAGAAACGCATCCAGTACCTCCTGCAAGGAAATCTTTTAACGTTGTTTACTGTCTAATACTATGAGCAGAGCCTGTGCAAACAACTTGAAATGCATTATCTTATTCAATCCTTGAACAATTCTCTAAGGTCCTCTAATTATCTCTATTTTTCAGAAGCAATTGAGTCTTGCAAGCTCAGTGTCTTACCTAAGTTCACAAAAGTAATAAGCCGCGGAGCTGGGATTTGCATCCAAACAGTCTGACTCCAGGCTCATCTCCTTTCCACACAACTACATAACGGAGGACACCCATGTGGCCCTCTGAATGTCCCTTTGGATCCGTGAAGTAGGATAGATGGCCTGAACCACTGCAGCTCTTTTCATGAGACACTTTTTAATACAGGAAGCTCATTAGCATTTAAATATTCCTGCTAGCCCTGTGCTCAACACTCCTAGTTTGCTTCTATTGATTTCAATACATTCTCTAAGGCTGCAGAAACTTAGATCTGTGGCTTCTGAAATGAGTTCAACCCCACTGCAAATGCATTTTAATCTTCCTGCTGTTGTCTGGATGCAAGTTTTCCTAAACTCCAACACAGTAGCTTTGTTCAGGGAGATCAGGGAGGTAGGCAAATCCCCAGACCAGAGAACTGACTGGGGCAGTTTGAGAGAGCACAGCTTGTCTCCAGAGCTTAAAGGCAATGTTTTCTTCCTTTCTGGTTTCACCTTTATGCTTTCTGTACTGAGCGAAGGTGTTTGTTCTTGAGATCCACTGACTCAGACAGGAAATTTCATAGCACTTACCATTTAGTACTTTAAAATACTAGTTGAGGAATTTTAGGGATGGGAAAAATAAAAACAGGTTCAATCCCATTACCTATAAATTATAGCTGTCGGTTTCTCAGTTTTGAAAAAGTGGGGGGCTGGGAGACTGGAACTCAGGACTGTATATCAAAATCTATCAGAATGCGATTGACTAGAATTAGACATGTCTCTGATTTTTAGAGCATCAATAGGTTTTTAAGGAGCAGAACCAATGTAGGAGTTTCATTTTTATAACCTTTCTTCCATGCTAAAATAGAAAGAGATGAGAAAGAATGACAGAGTCCCTGCCATTTCATTAAAACAGAGGTAGAATCTGTGAAAATGGAAGAAACCTGCCATTCAACACAGCGATTTTCTACAGTCTCTTACAGACAGCCTTCAAAGTAGGCTTAACTTTTCTCATGATAGAGTACTGACCACCGCCAAGAAGAAATCTCATTCACTTTTAGGTACTCTGAGCAAGTAGTTCTCTCTCATATCTAACCAAAGTTTTCCTAGTTGTACTGAAACCCATCTTTCTTAGTGCCGTCATTTAAAGCAGTGCTTCCCCAACTATCAGAGGTGAGGGCCAGTATATTTTGTTCTGTCTTTTCCAGTTCATCACAGATCAATATGTGTATGTCTGTAAAACACAAAATCACACACCTAAATATCATGGCAATATCAAATTGCAGTAAAACTTTCTAAACTTGTAATCTCTGTTTCTGAATTTATCACAGACTGGTAACAAATAGTTCACAAGATAGTGCCATCTGCAGGTCACATATTGAATAACACTCAAAGATTGGCCCAACAACCTGGCTTGGGTCTCCTCCTCCAGAAACTCATTCTGAGGCAAGGATTCCAGCACAGATAGTTGATTCTGAAAGTCAAATCATTAAATGTGGGGAATGGAGCTGTAAAGCAGACAGAGCAGAGAGGAAATAATGTGCGAATTTTCAAGCCAGTTATCCCTGTGGGCATCGGGAGATCAATTCTACTTGGAAACTCTGGGAGACCGTTAAATATAATTCAGAGTTATCACCAACAAGGAGGAAAGGAAATTACTGTTTCGATCCACAAAATCCCTGCTTGTCATTGGAAGAAAGAAGCTTCAAGAGCATGAACTCTCCAACACTTCTGACTTCTCCTACACACTTGCTGTGCATGCCACCAAGGCCAGGAAAAAAAGCCCTCAGGCAGCTTTTGACTTGTAGGGGTGAGTGCCCAGAGGAAGTCTGGTGCAGAACTAGCAACTGTTATGTGAAGAAGTGGAAAATTGTGCAAAAGGTATGAACAAAGGTCACAGAGTAAACAGGGTTCTTCAACATATGAAAGATTTTCCACTTCATTCATGAGATGCATGAAAAACTGAAACTATATTGAGATGCCATTTTTCACCTAGCAGACGGTCAAAACTCCAAAAGTTTGAGCACACATTCTGTGGGTGAGACTACAGAAACCTGCATTCTCATACATTATTCTTGGAAATGCAAACTAAGACCACCCCTGTGGAAAGCAGTTAGTATCTTTCAAAATTAAAAATGTGTAGGTAGGTTTTGATCCAGAAGTCCACCATTTCTGGGAATTTACCCTATAGATATGCCTGCAAGCATTTGAGATGAAAACTAGGCATTGCTATTTGTTTTTCTTGTTTTTCATGAATAAAAACATTGTAAAAACAGAATATGGGCCAATTCAAGCATTCATCTTTGGGACTGGTTAAGTAAACTATGCTGTTTCCACAGAATGGAATTTTACGCAGCTGTTTAAAAGAAATGAAGAGTGATCTTTTACATGCACAGAAAGATGTCCAAAATTTATTATTAATTTATTTCAATGGTACAAAATAACATATATTGTATGGTTCCTTTTATATTTGTGTACATGGTTTAATTGCTTAAAGAAACTCTAGAGGAATTCAAAAGATCTATACCAGAACAGGACAAGGGAACAGAGCAGAACAGGATTAGAAGCACTGCATACCTTTTTATATCATTTTGATTTTTTAATTACATGAATGGTTCACCTCATTGTTAAAATAAACTTAATTTTAAAAGTAATTGGGGGAATAGGGAAAGATGTGTTTTTGAAAGGATATAAAACTACAACTAGATAGGAAAAATAATATATAGTGTTCTATAGCACTGTAGGATGACTACAATAAACATATAGTTAATATATAGTTAACAATAACATAGTTTCAAATAGCTAGAAAGAAGATAATGAAATGATAAATGTTTGAGATGATAGGTATGCTAATTACCCTGATCTGATCACTATTTATTATATGTATCAAAACAATTACTATTTAATCCATAAATATGCACAGTTATTATCCGTCAATTTAAAAAAGTTTAAAATTTTGCTTAAAAATTAAAAACAAAAACAAAGTCATGGGATACATATCCTTGCTAAGTCTTCTCTTATTCCCACTAAACCTCTCTAGCTCATTCAGTCTTTCATATGAAATAATTTCTAAATCTTTCATCATCTTCTTCTTCAGATCTAAAAACATTTCAATGTTTCTTTTAAGATGTAGTTCCCCAAACCCAAAACTCAACTCTGGCTAAGGTGTAGCCAGGTTAGAGTATAATATGATGGTTGCTTCCCTTGTTCTGGATTTTGAGTGTCTATTAATATAGTCTAAGTTTTCACTAGGTTTTGGGGGGGTTTTGATAGTCACATACTATCAGGATCACATCAAATAATATGACTAAATTCTTTGCACACAGAGCATTAAGTGGAGTCTCTCCACAGTCTGCCCCACTAGCCTCATCTCTGCCCCCTTTCACCACCAATACCATCATCCACCTGAATTACCATTAATATTTTTAAACTTAAGTTCAAAGCAAAAACAAACACTCTGTACCATCTTTGCCATAATTCTACAAATTGAAAACTGTTCCAAAATAAAATAAAATAATAAAATAAAAATAAAGCCCTCCCTCTCCTTAAGAAAAGACACTAAATAGGGAAGGGACTTCAACGGGGATGGCAGGAAAAGCTGGCCTGTTGAGCTAGGAAGTCTGGAGGCCTTGTAAGAATGTGGGTGTGAAGTAACCTAGATAACCAATGACCAACAGAAAGAGACAATCAATGACCAAGAAAAGGGCAATTCAGCCTGAAGGCCAGAGAG